GCAGCAGGCGAGCAGCTGGCTGCCACTGCTGGCCAAGCGCTGCCACTCGGACACTCAGGTCTTCCTCTGCTCGCTCTTCGCGCCCGTCTGCCTCGACCGGCCCATCTACCCGTGCCGCTCGCTGTGCGAGGCGGTGCGCGCCGGCTGCGCGCCGCTCATGGAGGCCTACGGCTTCCCCTGGCCCGAGATGCTGCACTGCCACAAGTTTCCCCTGGACAACGACCTCTGCATCGCTGTACAGTTCGGGCACCTGCCTGCCACCGCGCCTCCAGGTAGCGCCGCCGCCGCCGCCCCCGAGCGCTCCGACGGCTCTGGGGGACCACGAGCTGGGTTCCGGGCGGATGCAGCTCCCCTCAACCCCTTAGCACAGCTCTGCGAGCCCCTGAGAAGTGCCACCCCCCCCATACACACGCACCCTGGCACAGCGTCTTCGCTCAGCCCTGCACCCTGGGAATTGTCTCCGCATCCTTCCCGCCTTCCGACCTCCCCATGGACTGCCAGGATAGTGCCTCCCGCGGCTCTGGACATTCCCATTGGTTCTCCCCGCTTCCATTCCTGAAAATCCCCGGCGCCCCTCGAAAAGCTCACCTTCCCAAGCCACTAAATCCCTGGGGCATCCCCAGTGCTGCCCACCCCCCATCCTGGGACATCCCTGTAAATGCCTTATCGCCCCTCTCAGCCCAAGAATCCCCGGGGTCGCTAAACAAACTTCAGGGCACCCCTCCCGTGCTGGGACCTTGGGAAGGGAGGAGGGGCGACAGAAGGGATGTAGCAAATGATCCTTAGGGGACTAAGACCGCTCCAGGGCTATGGTCCCCCTCCATTTCCTGCTCTTGGAACCCTAACTTCTCCACCCTCTTCCCTAATTCCCCAGGTTAGGAGTATTTGGGATGAGACTACGTGCTGAAGGAAGAACAGATTAGTCAGGCTCTGCCACTAACGAGGGAGCCCTAGGCAAGTTGCTTAACTTCTCTGAGGCTCGGTTTCCCCATCCATAAAATAGGAAGCAACCCCAGGTTCATGAAACCTATGAGGTCCTAAGTCCCTCCTTCAACCCGCACCCACAGTCCCATTACTCCTGGTTTTTCCCCCCGCAGCAGACTCCGCTGCACTGTGCTGGTCCACCCAGCTCTTCCCAGGTTGGTTCCGCGCACCCTCCCCCTTCCTCTGCTGTCTGCTGAATTTCTGGGCCGGTCTAAACACCCAGAACCCCAGCCAAGAGGATCGATGGTGGCAATGAGCAGAAAAGCCTTGCCTAGGTGGTTAACATGGGAGCCTAAGGAGTCCCCAGATGCTGAGACTCCCCAAAGGGACAGCACTGCTCTCTCTTTTCCTGTCCTCATATTCCCCAAAAAGCAACTGGACCCACCATGCCCCACCCACCCTCTCCAGACTAACTTTACCTACACGGTCTGCCCAGTCCTACCAGCCCAGCCCGCTCCTGAGAGTCACTGTTGAGTGGGGGTCCTGTGACTGGGGAGCACTGAGAGAAGGGAAACCCCCTATCCTGGAGGTTGGAAATCCAACAGAGAAACAGGGAGAGACAGCCAGCTCAAGTCAGAAAGCCACTGTCCCCAGCGGGGATCCCTGCAGGGTTCCTTTTCTGGTGTTTTTGGAGCACAAACACTAACAGCCTAGTGCGCACAGAAATGCCAGGCTCAGAATCCCACCTGGCCCTGCCCTCCATAGTCACCCTTCCTCTTTGAGCCCCGCTTTGCCCAGTGATGGGTGCCCATCTGGAGCCAGAAGACATAGGAGAAGCTGAGCAGACATCAGGCACTGGGTGGTGGCCTGAGGACCAGAGGCAGTTTGCATGGCCAGCAGATAAAACTCAGAAGGTTTCATGTAGAAATTGAATCTTGGGGCCGGCCCGGTGACGCACTGGATAAGTGCGCCGCTTGGGAAGCGCAGCGGCGCTCCCGCCCGAGGGTTCGGATCCCACATACAGACCGGTTCCCGCTCACTGGCTGAGCGAGGCGCGGGAGCAACACCTAGGGTTGCAATCCCGTTGCAATCCGTTGCCGGACACGGAAAAAGACCAAAAAAAAAAAGAAATTGAATCTTGGCTTCCCTTGAAAAATCAGAAGTGCTGGCAATGCTAAGCTTCCCTTTTTAGAAGAGGTGCTCCTCAGTTTACCACAGCCCGGCCCTGCCAGCTCCACTTGTTTACCCACCTGCCTGGACCTGTTGGCATCTGTGATCCTAAAAAGACCCTGCAAACACCCCCACTACCCCTAAAAAGACTGAGTCACAGATGCTGAGTCAGGTTCTCACTAGCTTTGCAGACGTGAGTAACCACTCTGGGCCTCAGTTTCTTTGTCTCTCACATAGGAATAATAACACCTACTTCATAGGCTGAGGATTAGATAAGAGAAAACCTAGAAGACAGGGCATTTCATGGTTGCAGCTGCCAGGGTCATGGGGCAATAATTGTGCCCACCTGGGCAGTTTTCCTGCACAATCTTGTCTCTGGTGATTGTCACAACCACTCAGTGAGCAGGTGGTAGTGTTATTGCCATCATCTCATTTCCTGATGAGAAGTGGAGGCTTGGAAGGGGGAGGTGGCTGGTCAGTGGGGAGCCTGCACCCTAAGTGGCTCTTGGGACTCTGATCCCTTCACCAATGTCCCCCAACACCACCCCTCCCTTCTCTCTTCAGTGACCAAGATCTGCGCCCAGTGTGAGATGGAGCACAGCGCCGACGGCCTCATGGAGCAGATGTGCTCCAGCGACTTCGGTGAGTATGGGGTCCCCGCAGCCACCGCCCCGGTGCAGCCTCCATCCCCTCACTGACGAATACACAAACACGTGCACCCACATCCATCACAGTGAACCTGACAGTTTTTGCATCATGGACCCCTTTTAGAACCTGATAATAACCATAAACTCTCTCCCAAGAGAAATACAGCTCTTTTTGCACATCATCTGAGGAGCTTCAGAAGTGCAACGTCCTGGTCCATGGGCCTCAGAAATCATCCCTGGCCAACTCTCCTGCAGCCCTCCCATGGCGCAGTCTACAGCAAAGCCTCCGTGGCTGGATTGTTGGGAGGAATGCAGGCTTAGCCCAGAGATGGATGAGGTTGTAACAGGGAGAGGTGGGCTCCAGGATGGGCTCCTGGATGGGCTCCTTGTCCCTGGGCACCACTGCCCAGTACCAATGCACCTCTGGCAACAGGAGCTGTGGGTCACCTGTCCTCACAGCTTCATCCTGGAGCCTCCACATTCCTGGGACAACTGAGCCAAGTTTAGTGAGGACCTTGCTCAAGTGTGGATCATAGTCCAGCATGTGATCTTTGCCAAGTCAGTTTCCTGTTTTGTCTTAGCCTCCCTGTCTATAAAAAAAGAAAAAAAAAGAAATAATAATGAAGTCCTTACTTCAGAGGAGTCTTTTATGTTGGTAGCCTGTTTGGAAAGAGAATACTTCTATTGCAAGGTGTATGTGTGTGGGTGTGTCAGAGAGAAGTGGGGAAAGAGGAGAAAAAAAGAAGGAAACAGATTTTATGACAATTTCCTTACTAAATGGGCAAAGTTATTCTCTGGCTTCTCCCTGGCGGCTCGCAGATATGAGGGCCCAGAGGCCTGAAGAAGGGAGAGTAGCCCAAGGGACCCATCCCCCACAAGCCCAGGACTCCTATCCCCAACTGCATTAGGCTCTCCGCGGCCACCTCAGTGACCTTGGCCATGATTCTTGCCACGGACCCTGCATTCATCTACCTCCCCCGACAGCCCCCGGCCACTCACCCACCTATACATACCGCAAACCCACTCTCATAGACAGAAACACTGCATACCCCCACCCACACCGCACAGTCTGTCATACACACAAATTACAGTGGCGTGATCACACCAACAAGAGCTGATTTGTGTACATCTCTCACCAACTCCACGCCCAGTGATGTGGCCAGCTGTGGTGGAAGCATTTACCCTGTGGACATCAGCAAACGCTACAGAGCAGGGCTCCCCCTCCCCAGAGCCAGCTGCTAAACATTCACCAGCCCACCACTGCCCCAGCCATACTTACCACACACACACTCACACTCACACTCACGCACAGCCAGAAATCCCACTGGCAATCATCCGCAGAGATCATGAAGTCCAGCCACCCTCCATCACAAGGACTCCCCTCCGAGTGAGCAGCCCCACCCCAATCCCCTCCCTGGGGAGCCCAACACCCTGCTGCACTCCCCGTCAAGAGCTCTCCACCCTGCGTTTGATGTCATGGAAAGGCTTAGGCTCTAGAGTTGGCCAGACCTTGGTTCAATCCAGACTCCACGATTCGGGCAGGTCACACCCTCTCCACACCTCATTTCCCTGCTCCTGTTCCTCAAGGATGAAATGTGATAATGTCTGTGGAAGTCCAGCACGTGCTAGGAGCTTCTCAAGTATTAAAGTGTATGTGTATAAGGCCCACCCCTCCAAGCCCTACGGAGCAGCAGCACCAGCTCTGGAGCCACCAGCGACCTGCACAAACCTGACCATTCTCACGCTGCCCCTCTGCCCTCCCTCCCACAGTGGTCAAAATGCGCATCAAGGAGATCAAGATAGAGAATGGGGACCGGAAGCTGATTGGAGCCCAGAAAAAGAAGAAGCTGCTGAAGCCGGGCCCCCTGAAGCGCAAGGACACCAAGAGGCTGGTGCTGCACATGAAGAATGGGGCGGGCTGCCCCTGCCCGCAGCTGGACAGCCTGGCAGGCAGCTTCCTGGTCATGGGCCGCAAGGTGGACGGACAGCTGCTGCTCATGGCCGTCTACCGCTGGGACAAGAAGAATAAGGAGATGAAGTTCGCAGTCAAATTCATGTTCTCCTACCCCTGCTCCCTCTACTACCCCTTCTTCTACGGGGCCGCAGAACCCCACTGAGGGGCTCTCCTCCCTGCCCTGCCCAACTGGCTGTGCCTTGCCCACTTCCTCGCCCACCTGGCCTCGCCCCCACTCCCAGGCTGTCCTAGCCCCTGCCAGAGGGTCGTTTCATGCAGATCGTTACTGGCACAGGCCCCAGGGATAGGTGTGGAGCCCGGGCTGTCCTTCTTGACCCTTGACCCAGGGGTCCTGAGGCCCCCGGGGTCTTAGGCATCCTCTCAGGAGCAGGGCTTTGTCATTTGGGAGAAAACCACAGGGTCTCAGAAAGTAGTCAGAGGGAAGAGAGAGCGAGGGGAGAGGAGGGGCTCAGAGCAGCCCGATGAGCTGGTTTCCAGACTAGACAGCAGCGTCAGCTCCCCTCTCTTGGTGGACAGGGGAGTCTCAGTATCAGTCTGAGCTACTTGGGGGACAGCTCTCCTCCCCTACTGCCCCTTTATTGTGTCCTTGTCATAGCCCCCCAGAGAAAAGGAGTTAGGGTCTCAATGCCCTCCAGCCACCACCCCTTGCCTTCCCCATCTCGCCCATTCCCCTACCCGAGGCCTAGCACTCCCGCTGGACTGGAGAGCAAACCCAGCCCCACCTCGATGCAGACCCCTTCCCATGGGCTCGCTTCTTGGGGTTCACTCCTCAGCCTCCGCTTCTCCCTTTTACCGCGATGATGAGTAAGTTATTGCTACTGCTGTGAGCCCCTAGGTACTAGATGACTGATACAGGTAGGGTTTGTTTTTTTAATTTTTTTAAAGTTTTTAATTAAATCAAAGAAAACAATAGTTGGTTTGGATCGGGTGATTTCTTTGTCAGCTGGTTCCAAAGAGGTGGGAGGAGAAGGAGGTTCAGAACAGACTTTTGGAAAGAGGCCCTATCTTAGCCCACGGCCTGTCCACATAGACCTACTTGGAATGCCTAAGAAAAGCAATGCCTGTGTTTTTGTAGGATCCCGAGAGCACACAGCAAGCATCCCCCTCTCATCCCGACCACTAAGTGAGGGATGGAGATGACCGTGCTCTTGTCCCTGACAAGGGAGAGAGGTGCCAAGTCCCCAGCCTGCTCCGACAGTCAGAAGACTCCCACAGTCCTGCAGCGTCTCCCCTACTTGGGCATTGCCTGTTCTAAGGAGCCCAAGAAGCCTGGGCCACAGGCAACTAAGCCTGAAGAGCCTGAAGCCTTAGACGTGTCACTCCTCTCGTTCAGCTTTCAAACACCCCTGGGCACTGGAGCCCAGCAGTACTCTGAGCATGGTCCCTGGACCAGCCACACCAGCATCACCTGGGAGCTGGTTAGAAATGCAGAATCTCAGGGCCCACCCAGACCTGCTGTATCGGAATTTGCATTTTAACACAGAAACGTTAGAATCACCTAGGAAGCTTTTAAAAACTACGGGGCCCCACCCTAATGCAATCACATAGGAATCTCTATAAGGTGCCCAGAAATCAGTATTTTTAGATGCTCCTGGGTGCAGTTCACAGAGTGAGAACCACTATCTAAATAAGCTAACAACGGAGGCAGGGAGAAGCTGAGGGGCTGAGGGGGGTCCTTCAGTGGGCTCAGAGCAGACGGAGGCGGCTACCTGGAGGTGGATGGGGCAGGGAGGGCAGGCTTGAAACAGAGGCAAGAATCTGCTCTGCTCACATGGCCAGCATTTGGAAGGGGTGGTGCCAGGAAAGCTTCTGGGGGTGGATGGGGGCACGTCAGCAGGTGTTGAGGGATGGGGCAGATGTGCCCTGAGCAGGAGGCTGGGGGCACTCACTCAGGGGCTTTCCTCGCCCGTGGAGGTAGAGCTGGGATGCCAAGTCCAGTCAAGACCTGCTGCTCCTCCAAGACAAAGGAGCTGCATTTTCTTGAGGTGAGAAAAACCTTGGCCTCCGCATCTCTCAGGAGCACATCACCTCAGAGCAGTGAGGGAGGTGGCATCTCCAGAGAGGACAGAGGCCCGAATTCTGTTGTGGGGCCAGTGTGAGCACACTGGGGTCTCGCTAACAGGTGGTCTGACAGCCAACCCATAAATCAGCTCCCTGGGCAGACAGGTGGCCTCACCACAGGTCAAGAGCAGCAGAGGCCTGCTTGTTCCTCCTCGCCACTGAGGAAGAACTGCCGCCCACCCTCTCCCACACCCTGCCCAGCTCTCCTGGCTCCCTGAATCTGCCCCTTGTCTCCCAGCCTCCTACCCCGACCAAATATTTACGGACACTTCTATGGTCAACCAGGACCAAGGATTATTTTTCCACTGAACACACAGCACTGGGGCCTGCCTCTGGCTGAAGGACAATACTGACCTCTGTCAGGTGCTGGCAGCAGTGAGAGGCAGCGGGGTTGGGCAGGGGCTCCCTTACCCTGTCCCGTGAAGCCCAGTAAGGCACTCCTCCCCGCCCTCACAAAGGGGTCAGGGTCCTGCTCCACACATCTGCTCTGTCCCCCAAAATCTGCTGTCAGGCCCCCACCCCCACCCCAGGAATCTCTGTCCTGGGACCAAAAAGAATCCTCCCAAACACCAAGGGAGGGCAAGGCCTGAGCCCCACCCTTCACTCCCTTCAGTCACAAAGCTCCTTCCCTTCCTGCTGCACTGTCCTCCCTCACAGAGGCCTGCAGACCAGCCGCTGTGCACCCAGAGAGCATCAGTGCACAATGCACATCACTGTATCAGTGAACGATTGCCCAACCACATGGAACAGAAACCCCAAGAATGGTGGGGGCTTCTCCACACAGAGGCCTGGAGGAGGACAGGTGGGAGGTCCATATCCCAGGCCCCTCTGCCTTCCTGCTCTGCCAGGAGGTGGCTTTAGTTCTCTTGGTTACAAGATGGTGCCTCCTTCCAACTTAACCACATTCCAGGCAGCAAGGCAGAGAAGGACTAAGGGCAGAAACAGCGTGTCAGCTGCTCTGGCCCCTTTGATCAAGAAAACAGTAATTTCCCAACCCACCCACCTGGTAGATTTCCACTTCTAGCTCACTGGCCAGAATTACATCACACAGCCACGCCTAGTTGCAAGACAGCAGGGGAAGTCAAGTTTCTCAGCTGGGTACAAAATCAGAGTTCTAATTAAGAACAGGAGGGATTTGGGGGTAGGCAACTACACATTCAGGCTTGGAGTAAGAAGAGGCAGTATAGCCCAGTTCTGGGTTCCAATCCTGTGACTTAGTGACTGTGTGACATTGGGAACATTGCCCAGCAGTATAACGGAGCAATAATGTCTACTTCAGGAGGTTGCTGAGTGTTAAGTGGGAAAATGCATGAAAAGTACCTGGGAACAATGCACGGCATTTAGAAAATGTTCATTAAATGGTAATTAATATTTTAATTAACCAAAAGCCATGACCTGGTAGTGCCTGCACATAGTAAGTGCTCAGTAAAATTCCTAATTGATTCATTAATCAACTAAGAAATACTACGGACAGGAAGACATGAAAAAACTGGAACTCTTATCTAAAAGCCAGAACTGTTACTTTCAGAGGGGGAACAGAACCTACATTTGGGGGTTTTGCTTCAGAAATACATCCCCAGATGGTATGTAAGCCCATATTATGGAGAAAATATACTAGTACTCAACAAATATCAAGGCCCTGCTGCACGCAGGCACGTCTCAAGACACTTCCACATTCTAATTTAACTTTCCTATCAGCCCTTTGAGATAGTGGCATTTTAATGATGGTAGCTAAGGCTCAGAGAAGCTGAGGAACTTGTTGGAGGTCACACAGCTTGTACATGGTGGTGCCTGGATTTGGCCCCATGCTCTTAACCACTGTACTACTGTCTGCAAGGGGCAAAGCCAAGGACAGGCCAGGGGCTATAGGCAGCTATGCTTCTGCCACCTGCCTCACAGGGAGATATTTCTGGGGGCGCGGCTCCGATCCCACTCCAAGGGCCCTGACAGAGGAAGAGGAGCCAGTGGCTTTTCTCCTGATTCCCAGAGACAGCCCACCCCCACCCCTCCTCCCCTCTCAGCCCTGCCAGCATCCAGTCTCTTAGGTTCCTACAAAGGAACCTCACATCCCACAACTGTTTAGTTGGCTGTAATCCTGGCTAAAGTTCGCTCCTTGGGAAATCTAACGTGGGGGGTGGCTGCTGCTGGAATGTGTGTGGCTGGGACCCAGTGTCCCAGCCCAGACAGCAGGCTCTGCTGGGGCCATGAAGAAAGCAGGCATCCAGGGGAATCCGGAATCCCCAGCCCCCAGCTGTGCCAGAAAATGGAATGTGCTGCTCTAGGGTGTTGAAACCTACCAGCCAAGGCAGGAGGTGGGGTTGCTGGGAGCTGGGGGGAGCTCCTGACCACAAGGCTCCCTCTGTTCTCCTGGAGGCTGAGCCCACTTTGCTGGGGGAGGGGGGGGCCGGGAAGGAGGCAGGCCCCCCCTGTTAGCTCGGTAGCCAGCTTCTGGAGCTGGGGAGGCCAGGCAGAACAGAAGGGAGGGAGAAAGACAAGATTGCTGTTCATCCGAAGTTCCTCTCCTGAGGCCTCAACAAGCACCTGTGACACAACTCACACCCCAGCTCCATGCTTACTAGCCACATGGCTCTGGCAGGTTACTTAACCTCCCCATGCCTCCATTTACTCATTGCTCAAGTGGAGTTAACAAGAGAGCCCAGTTTTGGGGACTGTCATGAGGTTTAAATGAGACAATGCATTCATGTTGACTGACACAGGTGTTCGATGAACGTATGTATTATTGTTTTCCTGAGGGGATGCCTTGATGATTCCATAGAGACAAGGGGATGAAGATGGAGTTTTGTTTGGCTTCAGCCCCAAGGGCCAAAAATCCTGAAGACCCCAGAACCCTCTGCCAGTTCAAGGTCTACCAGGGCTCACTGGAGAATGCTCAACACCATGACGAAACCACGGAAAGGGTCGACAGAATGCTGAACCCAAGCCAGGCTGTAGGAGCTGCAGTCCCAGGTCTGCTCCAGCCAGCGGCAGGGCTATAGCAGAACCTGGCTACCCACTCCCGCCCCCAGGTGCCCGAGAACAAAGTGGGAGCAGTCTTTTAAACCAGGCAGCAATTCTACAACAGAATTTGTCTTCCAGGACATACATGTGTGGGTCCTCTCTGCAATGTTAACCCCAGCCAGCTGTAAAGCACAACCAATCCTCCCAGCTGTACCTGCACTTCAAGTTGTCTGTCCCTTGCCTGCTCTCACGTGCCCCTCAGAGAGACATGGACGTGGCCCCCCAGCTTCCCCCTCTCTGAGGCTGCAGACCCCTGGGGATGAAAACCCATGTTTCTCACATCTCTGTAACCCCAACCCCACAAGCCCAGGCTTCCTCAAGTTAATGCCTGTCATAGTCGGCATCTCACCAACACTAGGCATTGTTCTTCTTTTCCAAAAACAAAATGATATGGACTCTGCTTTTTCAAACTACACTCATGCCTCTCCCTGATATTCTTCTCTAAATAATTAAAAAAAAAAAAAAAAATTCCTGCTCTAAGTCACCCAGGGCAGTGCTGCTTGTCCTCTTTGTGAAGGTTGTCAGGTTGCGGTAAGAGTCAGCATTCATTGTGGGATGTTTTTGCAGCTGGTCAGTAGGTGGACCCAAACCCTTGACCTTGGTGTTATCAGCACCACGCTCTGCTGAGTGAACTGGCCAGCCCTACTGAGTGTTTGCTGCATGCTCCACCCTCCCATGGACTATCCCATGGAACCGTCACAGCAGCCCTACGAGGTAGACATCACTATCAGGCCCATTTGACAGATGAGGAAAGCAGCACAGATACTGGGGGCAACACCCCTACGGCAACC